CTCTATTAGTTAAATTAATCCAATCACTAATCCAGGTTAATACCACTGCTTCATAATATAATTTTAAATTAGGGGCTTTAAGTCCCCCTCTTTCCCGTACATCTTGCAAAATTTTAAATTTTACCCTAGGTTTTTTCCCCTGCCATATGAACCTATTAATACCTCTTTGCCATTCTTCCAAATTTGAATCCTTTTTTAAGATAGGTATCATCTGAAACAAAAAAAGAAACTTGGGGAGAACATTCATTTTTATTGCTGCAATTCTTCCCAATAATGATAACTGTAATTTCTTCCACTTCATCAAATCCTTTTGAACTTTTTTCCATAACTTATCATAATTATTCGTATACAATTTAGCATTAGAAGCAGTAATATCAACACCCAAGTATTTCACTTTTTTTACTATTTCAAAACCAGTTACATTACTTAAAATTTCTATATCTTTCATAAACATATTTTTAACTAATATTTTAGTCTTATTATTATTTACTTTAAATCCAGACACATTCCCATAGTGTATCAATGTCTGTATCAAATTTCTTGCCGAGTCAGTTGGTTCCGACAAAGTGAAAACCAAGTCATCAGCAAATGCTCTGTTTGTAAGCATTGTTGCCCAAAGTTATTCGATGAAGACCCCGAGAAGTTGCTGTTCTTCCTAAACCAAGTGTGGGCTCATATGGATCATTATGCCCACACCTATCCTGACGATGCCACAATGGTGAATGCATTGACGGCCAACATGGAAGGGGAAGCAGCGGAGTGGGTGACCAACCTTCATGATGAAGGGGCTCCGGAGTAGTTGGATGCGAATTTATTCATGGAACAGCTGAGAATCAGATTTGAGGATGAATCCCAAGCCCTGCAAGCAGAAAAGGAGATTCATCACTTGAGGAAGAGAGGTCGCCCAGCGAAAGAATATGTCTGAGAGTTTCGGAGAGTCGCTGGTCGCCTGGGACAGTGGCCAGAGTGGTCCCTGTGCCACTATTTCAAACAAGGGCTGGACTGCGACCTGCTGCAAGCATGCATCTACTGAGGGATCCTGAACTAGCTGCAAGAGTGGTATAACATGACAGTAACCTTGGACATCTAATTGGATCGTGTCAAGAGACCAACTGCCGCCGAAGCCGAGCCGAGGTCTGGAGAAGCACCTGTTTGGACGGCAACCCCAAGCCACTTCAACCGCCGACGCTTTTCGAGTGGCCGCCGGGGCTCCCATCAAATGCTTCCGATGTGGGCAGCAGGGCCATCGTGCTGCTGAATGCTTAGCCCCTGCCCCCCCCAAGCAAAAGCTGCACCAGTTTCAACTGTTAAGCGAAGAAAACCACCGCCATGAGCAGGACAGGAGAAGTCTAATTGGGCCAAACAGGAGCAAGCTGTCCAAATCTCCCCGCCCCAGGGAGAAGCAGGAGCCCCACCTGAACACCTGCCCCTACCGGCGCCTTACGATAGTGATGAGGATGCTGAAGACGACCCGATGATAAGTCGACCCATCCCACCTTTCACTATTCCCGCCAAGATTATGGTGCCAAAGATAGGGGCCCAAACCGATTTAGACGTTTTAATAGACTCAGGCTGCACCAGATGCTTAATTAACTTGCCCATAGTTCTTAAGTTGGGGATTCACGCCAAATTGTTGCCCCTAGCCATGAAGTTTGAACAGGCAGATGGTTCGCTTATTGGAGGTTCCCCAGCAACATTGCATCTGGAAATGGGACAGCACTGGGAGATCAT